CGAAAAATTGTAATTTTGAAAGGAGAAATCTCATTTAGATATATCTCGTACAATCATATCTCAAACCAGTTTTATATTATGAATCACTTTTTTAAAAATAAACAGTGAAAATTTTGAACCTTTAACTCATAATCTCTTCGGTATCCGGAGTAAATCTTTAAATATCCTTATCTAAAGAATAATTATTTATACCTAAAATGATTTAAACCCAGAACACAAAAGAACAAATCCCACTTATGTTACCACTACACTACCACACTTTTGGTTATATCATGAATCATGATAATAAAAATTTTGTGGATACTTCCATTTACCCTTTTATGGGTTTGTATTTCCTCTCTCGTATGAGATGTCACGATGTCTCTACCTTTTGTTAGTTTTTCTTGTCTTGGTGAACAAATAAATATTAGCGATAAAAGAAAAAATGGAAAATTGCATAAAAATTTTTGAAGGTGGCACGCACTGACATTTTAAACCTCCAAAATTTATCACTAGCATTTTAAACCTCCAATGTGACATTATTTACAGTATAAACCACAAAGATGACACTTTTGTACGCGCAATCAAAATTTTAAATGGAATGGTAAACGTTGTTAACGGAACACTACTCCAAGGGTTTCTAGCTTCCTTTGCTGCAGACGAAGCCGTTGAAGTTTCGACTACTCGGTCTGCTGGAGATCCTCTCCTTGCTGGCGGTGGTCCTCTGTGTCGCCAATATTTGCAGCGGCGGCCCTATGTCTCCAAGAAAATCCTACTTTAGGGTTAGGGTTTGGACTTTTGGTAGTGGGCTAGCTTTAATGGGCCGGTTTGTTATTGGGCCTCTTTCGATTCTAATATGTTTGTAGGTTTTGGGCCATTAGTTGGTGATGGGTTAGCCCATTAGCAGTAGGTAAAGGTTTCCAAACCGGATACATCCTGAATTTCCGGATTTTGGTACAGTCTTGTTTTTATAATAAGCCAAAAGGTCCAAAAAAATTTAAGTTTAATGCAATGAAAAGTTAAAAAAAAAAAAAATAGTGCAACACGAACTGTCTATACAGATCAATCTAAAAAAAAGTGTCTACACATAAATTTTCATTTGAAAGCTGTGAAATTATTTTGACAATTCTAAGGGTCTAAATGGTAACCGCAGAATTTTTGCTGAATTTGTTGAATTACTGTTGATTTTTTGTAGAATTTGCTGAATAATATCAAACTTAAATGGTAACAGCAGAATTTGCTGAATTTGCTGAATTTTCTTAAAACAGTAATTACTGTTGAATTTTTGCTGAATTACTGTTGAATTGCTGAATTTGTTGAATTTTTAATGATTTTTTGCGGAATTTGCTGAATAATGGGTCTAAATGGTAACG